TTCTCCCATCCTGACCAATAAAAATTTTAAATTAATTTATATCCTGTACTATCTATGCATTTCCTGGTTCACTTGCTGGTACCCTCAGTTCAAAAATACTGAAATTAATTCCTGAAATGTTCTTGCCTTACATATTCGCGATTTCCAAAGAAAAGGGAATTATAACACTCCCCACAACTGAAATAACGACACTTGGTGATTCCCGAAATTTAGCTCTTAAGCATGGATGGTACATGTGTGGTGGCATACGTGCTGCGGCATGTTCAAATCTCCCAAACACCCCCCGGGATGTGTCTCGTTTTTCTTTATTAAGTCTTTCGTGGTTCTGTTTCTGGCATATGATATTCTCCCCTTCTAACCCCCTCTACCCCCGCATCTACCCATCTCCCTGTGTCTGTGTGTGTCTGTCTGTCTGTCTGTCTGTCTGTCTGTCTGTCGTTTATTTGTCGAAAGGGGGAAATGGAGATGGCAGCTCGGTGAGCTCGGATGTCGTTACGGAGCTGCTGAAAGAGGCCGCAATGCTGGGAGGATTACGACATCCCAACATCGTGTGGGTGTACGGCATTGTACTGCCAAGCGGTGTACGGGAGCTGAAGGCGAAGCGGGAAAGGTGGGTGGGAGCGAACGATGTGGCAGCTATGTGGTTTTATTGGTTTTGGAGCGGATTTCATATCCAAAGATGACAGCAGGGATGACAGTACGGAAACAGCAACAGCATCGCAAGCAGCGCGATCCAGCATCCGCAGTTTCGCAGTGATATGGAGGCGGCGGGCGCCGCGGTAGTGGCGATAAGGTGACTGGCGGGGGGATGTGTTCAGTGTTTTTTTTTAACTTTTCACCATGGTAATCTTTTAGTGACCAAGTGGGGTTTCTTCTGTGGGGTTTGGTCCTTGGTAACTACTTAACATTTTTCCCAGCGAGTATGCTGAACAGGACTTCTGTTACAGGAGCCCACTAGAACCACTCCATGCATCCGAAGATCCAACTTCACGGCATTCGCTCATTCACACGCCTTTGAACAGCCAAGACGACGACACTTATATGTTGATTATTTATTTAAATGGTTGTGTGTACAGAAAGCTTTTTAGGTGGTCACTGCGGGGCTCTGTGTGGCCCCCAATTTTTTCCTTTTTGCGACCACCTGGTTATATATAATACTGGCAGGTGACTCAAAACATATTTCCTAGTGACAGACCACCTTCTGGAAGGAAATTATTTTCCTCAGTAACCACTTGGCCACCACGTAGTAACCACTTTAAATAAAACACAGGATGTGGGGAAGTGATATATTGCTTATTTTGGAGCTTTTACATGGAAACCGGCACCAGGCCCACCTAGTTCCCCACACGTACAATCTCTTGACTTTCACGCACATCAAAAACAACATTTAGACTTCCCCCACCGCACCGCTTCAAACCGAGTTAGTAGTTAATAGGTAGCCGTAATTAGCTGTAGTTAGTTATGGTTGGTTGTGATTAATTAAAAATAGATTTTTCAATACGACTCTTCAAATACGCGAGCGCAGGCTGGATGCCGCGGGCGATATTGACGCGGTTCGCATGACGGCCGCTCTGGCTGCCGGCATGCCCATCCTGCCGGGTGTCGTACGGCCGCCTGCGCTGGTGACGGAGTACCTTGGCGCGGGCAGTCTGCGTGCCGCACTGACCCGCGGGTCGGACTTCCTGCGTAGCGACATGGTGCGGATAAAGTTGGCGCTGGATGCCGCCCGGGTGAGATGTTTTTGGAGGAGGGGGAAAGGAGGTAGCGTGTGGGGGTGTTTTATGTGTGTGTGTGTGTATGTGGCCCTGCGCTTAGTCTTAAAACGAATTCAGTCGTAGTCTTGAGATGTTTAGTCACGGAATGGTTCTGTATTAAAAGTCGCAAAAACCACACCTCGCGATATCGATATCATAAACACTCTCACCCTCTTACGTCCCCATCACGTCCTTTCCTTTCCTCATCGCACCGTACCGTGTGCCGTACCACGCTGCCGTACCGCAAACCCACGTCCTTCTCCCCTCCCTCCCTCTCCCACCCAAGCAGCCACCCTCCCAACCCGCCCGCCATTAACGATCGGAAATGCGCCACCTCCCCCCACCTCCCCCCACCTCGCCTCAAGGGGATGGAGTACCTGCACCTCAAACGCATCGTCCACTTCGATTTGAAGACGGGCAACCTCCTGGTGGGCTTCAGAGAGAAGTCGCCCACTTGCAAAGTTGCGGACTTCGGACTGTCAAAACAGCGACAACAAACATACGTTACAGGTGGGCCGTGTACGTTGTCAGGATTTGGCGTTTCCGTATGTATGTATGATTAGCATTTGGGGATTAAAAAAAGGGTTTAGAGTGGGGTTTTGATTTTTAGGGTTGTTTTGAAGTATAGAAGTATATAAATTGGGGTTTTGGGACCTAAAATGCAGTTTCGTGAGCCTTCTGCTGCTCGTCACCACCACGTTACTTACACGACAATGTATCTATCGGGGGGTAGAGGGGGCAGCGATCCAGCAGACCAGCAAAACAACTAAACGCTCAAAACTGGACGCTCGCACCCTAGATTCCGCCATCTTCATCTTCATCTTCGCCTCCCCGACCCTCCCCGACCCTCCCCGACCGGACCGGACCGGACCGGACCGGACCGGACCGGACCGGACCGGACCGGACCGGACCGGATCCGACACCGCCACAGTTGTGTCGTCGTTATCGTTATCGTGCGCTGGCGGTTTCCCACGGCGTGACGTTTGCTACTGACCGCACACTGCCGTACTTTGCTCACATCGTCGCCACATCGTCGTGTGCGTCAAACAACATTCGACTCCCAACGCGTCTCACCGTCGTACATTACCGTACCGCATTGTACCGCACTGTTCTGCACTGCAGGCGTCACCTCGCTCCGCGGCACGCTTCCCTGGACAGCTCCTGAAATCATTCGTACACCCAAGGTACGACTTGGCACATTACGGATCCGTACTTCACTTCACCGTCATGTATTGTTTTTGCTTTACTGTTTTTTTCCTTCACTGTTTTCTTTTTAATATAATATTATCAGAGCTTGCCGCATCATCGCTGAAGGTAATAGTATATATGTTACGTAGCTTCTCGCTAGCAGATTCCCTCAATTTTTGCATCAATAGCACGTAGAGACCTGCGACCTGGGCGAAAAAGGGGTAAGTGAAGAGGGTGGTACCCATGGTGGACCGTGTGTTACGTATGTATGTATGTGTGTGCCGCTGCTGCGACCACTTACCGCCAGCAGTGCTCCTCCTACCTGACCCGCCACCTGATGGGCCCTATACGTCCCGGTGTGCAGGCGGTAACGGACAAGGCTGACGTGTATTCCTTCGGTGTGGTGATGTGGGAGCTGTGGACGTTCAGGTGGGTCGTGGGGGGGGGGGGCAGAGGTTGGGGGAACGAGGGGTTGGGGGTTTAGGGTTTGGGTCGCGCGGCGATACACACACATACATACACATACACAGGTACTGCAAATGCTGGGAAAGGTGCAGCATTTCAAAACACACATGCACACATGTGCACATGGGCACATATGCAATTTTGCGCATACGCATAAAAATAACTAGTCGAGTTAGTGGAAAACATTGCAAAGCCGCCCCTCGCGCTTTTTGCTTGGGTAGGCATGTACGGCGAGCGAAGTTCCTTTTAAGCTAGCCAATTCTGATCGATGTTGTACTTTGGGCTTCGGGTTTATTTCACCCACATGTACGGGAGTAATTTTTATCTTATGAGGTAAAAGTCGAGTGTTTATTTGATGAAAAGACATCCGCACGGTTCAGTCACCCCCTTACACACATACATACGTACAGCCCCATGCACACATCCGTACACGAACAGGGAGCCGTACGACGGTCTCAACTACCACGCGTTGCTGCACCAGATCTCCATGTCCACCGAACCTGTGAGGCCCTCCATTCCAGGTGGATGTTTAAGGTTTAGGGTTTTAGGGTTTTAGGGTTTTATAACTGGAGGGGAGGAATGGGGGAAGAGGAACGGGGGAGAGAGGGAAGGTGGTCCTTCACTTCTTTGGCTATCGCGCGCTATCTCGTCCCATAAGTCCCTGAAGGAGCTGCAACGAGCAGTCCACAATGCTACATGACGATGTATGGAGAAAATAGATTGTTTCACTTTTTTGAAATACTAAAGTTTCTGGAGAATTTATATATTTAGGCATCCCCTCTCCAATCGCCCTACCTTCAAATCTTACGAGTGCAACCACTCCCTCGCTCGCACCAACCTAATGGCTCCCGCTCCCGGCCCCTGTCCTGTTTTGGCAACACCAGGCTCAGCCGATTGGGAGGGTCCCGTGCCCGAGGAGCCCGCTCCCGGCTGGATGGGCCTTATGTGCCGCTGCTGGGACGAGAGCCCCGACGCGCGGCCGCCGTTTACCTGCGTGGTTTCGGAGCTTGAAGTCATGCTGGCAACTGCCAAGGCCAAACGCCGTGCCACAAGCGCTTAATGGCCCCAGGAGGTCCTGAAATGCTTTCTTTGTGTACGTATGTATGTATGTGCCTTGAGCGAGATGTGTACGGGTATATGCGCGTCTTGATGATAGGAGTTGCGGAGGTGGAGGTGGAGGTGGACGTGGAGGTGGAGGAGAGGAGAGGAGAGGAGGGAAGGAGGAGGGAGGGGGAGAAGGAGGAGAGGAAAGGAGTGAATAGCACAGGCTGCCAGAAGGCTCGCTGCTACGGTAGTTGTGTTTGTTATTGTACAAACGGCCTGATGAAGTATTTGTATCCGCCCTTGGCGAAGTGGGCGAATGGATGAGTGTACGGGCAAGGATGGACGAGTTTACGGGCAAGTATTGAGGAGTGGGGGGCCCCAGGAGTGGGTGGAAAGGTGTGAGGTGTGGACAGGGAGATGCCGACTGAGGGCCGTCCAGGCGGCGTCGGTAAGCGAGCCCGAATAAGTGGAGGGAGAGCGAGTAGAGGTATGGAGGGCTGAGAGGTGGAGAGAGAGAGAGGGAGAGAGTGTGTGTGTGTGTGTGTGTGTGTGTGTGTGTGTGTGTGTGTGTGTGTGTGTGTGTGTGTGGAATGTTGTAATGGAGAGACAGAGCTTTTAGAGGACATGGTTTTTATTGAAGGGGAGAAGCATGGTTCCTTAGTCTCCTTGAAGCTGTTAAAGAGGAAAAGAGGGAAGAAGCTGGAGTTCGTTAGCTTTCTTGCTGGGGGGGGGGGGAGGGGAAGGGAATCCTTTGGGAGACCTCGTCTTTCGTCCTCTCGGGGGAAAAGGTGGGGCAGCGTTGTTTGCATGGTGGTGGCAGTGGTGGTTGTGGTGATTGAGGGAGGGGCTCCGGAGCCCGTGTGCGGAAGAGGTGGAGATGAGAGCGTGTTCCGCACAACACGACCACCACACGACCACCACACGACCACCACAGCACAACAGTCCTCCCTGCCCAACATCAGCATCATCATCACCATGGACAAGAACTCCACGCGCATGTCCTTCTTCTTAAGCCGCGAGCCATCTCGATGCCTACGTCGTACAAGCCGTACAAGCTGTATGTACAAGCAAGCAATCCACCATTACCGATAGTTAGGTAGCAGCGGACTTTTTTGGAAGTGTCTCAGGAATTTCTTTATAGCTTTTCTTCTTCCCGTATGAGCAACTCTTCTTCACTTTTAATAAAAATGTATATCCGTTGAAAAGTCCTCGACGTTATTTAGAGACACCTTTCGAGCGGCTTTTACGTAGATTATTTTAGTCTTCAAAATGGTTTAATAATAATAAAAGCGCAGAGCAGTTTTGTACGTTATGGTCGCGCTGTCGTGTACTGCAATACATTTGTATGCCGCCGTGCGAATTGATTCCTGATTGAGAATGCGCCTTTTGTGCGGCCCCCGGCGACTGCTTGCTGCCGAGAGTGCCTTGGGCCAGTCGCCCCGCTTGGGGCCCTGCATGCTTTTTATTGTCCGGGCTCGCCAAGGTACTCTTGTTACCTTCTGTATGTTTTGCCGTACAGCTTGTACGACATTCGCCGTACCACTATGGGCGGAAATGAAGGGGTTGTGCTCTGTAGAGGGAGGGCGGTGTGATGTGCTGCTCTGCCGTGGTGAGACGTTGGTGTGTGTGGTGTGTAGATAAAGAGGATGTCGTCACACAGGCGTAAGAGGCGAAGCATAACCAGAGGAAACCAATAAAGTCATATGTTGGCTCTATCTTTTACTACTATGAGATGTTGTGCCAGGGGTCTGTCTAGTCGTGGCCTCTATGCTGCATCTATATTTCTTTTACAATGCCAGCAATTAGAAACAGAATGAGATAAAAATGCCTTTTTGAAAATGAGCCGCAGGATGTATGTAGGAATCGGTAATCAACTTTTATGGCTAATCGTTGCACGCTACGGATGAATCTAGTGCCTGTGTGCGGATCCCCGCCGTTGTTGAATTTGCAAATTGGCAGCCGAAAAGTAGTAATTTGTTTTAACGGTTGGAAGTGGTAGGTAGTGGTTAGAAGACGGTTGCGCTGGTGTTGGTTGCGGCTACAGGAGAGCTGCATGGTGTGTGTCCCGTCCAGCAGAACGTGGAGCAGCAGCAGTACATTTGCCACGGGGGTGACGGAGTGCTGTACGACGGAGTGTTAGCGTGTCGGATGGGGGGAGTGTCGGATGCGTATGTGTTGTGTTGGTATGCCTGTATGTATATATGCGCAGCACGCAGAAGCTGCATCTGTGTGTGTGTGTGTGTGTTTCGCTGTGTCGTGCAGCGCGTCGCCATCATCACCGTCCGCTGCATTTTCCCGCACCATTTCACTAAAGAGAAGTAGCATCGCTACAGGGCACATAAGCCTTTTCTTTCCCCCCCTCCCCTTTCCTAGGGCAACAAGTGCATTGCCGCACAAGCTAGGGCGCACGACGTGGTGTTGTGATAGCTGGGAGTCGTGTTGAATGCTGTTCTGTGGTGGATTGAAAAGTTAAAAGTCCGAGGGCAGAGGTGTATCCGTGGGACGGGACATATGAAGGAGCGTGTACGGCATGTACGACGTGTACGGCATGTATGATATCTTGTGCCCCCGATCGTCAGTGTCTCAGGTGGTGGTGTCTTGGGGTGTCTTGTGGGGGATCATTCGGCCCGACCCCAAAGAGCCAATCCCCAACTTCAAAAACGTTTGTGCGTTATGCGGTTATCATACACGCTAGGGGTTGGAAATAACCGGAAAAGGACTGCTTCAGGTTTTGGGGAAACATCTGGGCAAGGTGCGGTGCGGGGGCAGCAGCTCAGCGCGGCGGATGTTATGTATAGGATGCGTTCACCCAATGTTCGGGAACTTACAAAGATGGTGTCATTGTTTTTTTTGCGCGGGAATCTTTTCCGTTTCCGCTTTGTTGTATTCAGTCTCAATTGTAGAATGACCAGATTTTCTGGCAGGAGGAGGGATTGGATGAGCCTGGAGGAATGGGTGTGTGTAATTGCAAATGGAGAGAAGGGGCATCGGAAAACAAAGTTGTGTGAATGTATGTGTGTGTTTTGTAGTCCTAAACAAATTCTGGATCCATATATCCTTTTCGCTTTATTATACTATACAGGACGACGTACGCAAGAACGTACAGTATATCGTACAACACAGTACATTGCACATGGTTCAAGTTCGCATGGTTCAAGTCCGCATATCAATACACAAAACCAAAAAATGGTGCGCTGTAGGACTCGAGCAGAGGAGTAGAGAGCACAACAGCCCCGCAGGGGGGAGGAAAAGGAAGAACCCAAAAGCGATATACGTCCCACGAAACGGCCCAAGACGGAACCCGAACCCCTACGGCTCCCCCCGAAGAAAACCATGTTTAATTCGTTCCCATGTCCCTCGCCAGAGGCACCACAACACTGTTCGACGTCAGTGATGAACATGAACTCCTGCCATCACCGCGCGAGCAAAGATGGTCGCAAATTTGTATACAGCATTTTTTAATCTTTCTTTTTAATCTTTCACCTTCCCTTCTCTTCTCTCGATATATATGCCACAGAGGGCTCATGTCTCGAAGAATGGTCATGTTGTTATTGTTAAATTACTGCTGCTGCTTTTGTTACTGCCAGTGCTACTTATCATCATCATCTCCGGCCCCTCCTTCGGGGCCGCAAATATCAGACCGCCAAACTCCGGAGAGCCGTTTGTACTCTTCGCAGACTGTACGGACGAAATCGGACACTTCGGGGCCCCCCGGGCAGTCGTACCTCGGGTGCAAGAGTACAGTGGGAAGCGAGGGCAGTGGGATGAGCAGGGAGGTAAGGGGACGATGATGATCAGCGGGTCGTCGTACACAGCGCGTGTAGGAGCGGGGGAGTGAGTGCGCGGAGTTCCCCACGGACGTGCATTTGCAGCTGCACGCAGACGGAGAAGTATCACTTCACCATCCACACGCACACACACACGCACACACAGACACACACAGACACACGCACAGACACACGCACAGACACACGCACACACAGAGACGCACACAGACGCACAGAAACGCACAAAGACAAAGACACAGACACAGACACACGCACACATCGAGACCTATCAACAGTTCCTCCGCCGCCGCCCCCTCGACCCCTCGCGCCTCTCAAGCTTTTTTGAACACACCTTCCCTACCCAGCCATCGCTTAGACGAGCAAGGGCAGAACACACATCACAATCTCCCGGCCCTAACTCTCTCACCATAGCCCTCACTCGTACAGCCCTCACTCGTACAGCCCTCACTCGTACAGCCCTCCTCGTTGCCCCCTCCGTCCCTCCCGTCCCTTCCGTCCTTCCCTCCGAAACCATCCTTCCCTCCGAAACCATCCCTTCATCCCTCCTTCGAAACCATCCCTTCATCCCTCCTTCGAAACCATCCCTTCATCCCTCCCTCCGAAACCATCCCTCCTTCCATCCCTCCGACACCCCCCCCCAATCACCGCTCACCACTGTGCGCCGTCATGTGTGCACCGGTAGGTGCCCCCCACGAAGATGGTGCAGCTGCGCTGGGCTCCCCGCCGCCGCGCCTCAGCAGCTGACACCTGCAGCAGCTGCGCGCCCTCTTCACCGGACCAGCAGGACCGGACCTTGTCCGCGATGTGATTGGGAAAGAGGGAGGTCTGCGGTTTCGGAAGCGGAGAGAGAGAGAGAGACACGCACACAATTCGTTCAGTGGGAAGAGAAGGACCTGTTGCTGTCGCTTCGTTGGTTAGCCCCGGGTTGGGTATCCCGCGTGGGGTAAGGGGGGTTGGGGTTGGGAAGAAGATGCGGGTTCGGGCTTCGGGGCCGGTGAAAAGGGAAAGGGGGTGGGGGGTACACTTCTTCTTCTCCTTAGAAGAAGGTTCCCCCTTAGGGTGAAAAGGGAAAGGGGGTGGGGGGTACAGAGGTACAGAGGTTGGCGCACCAGAAGGCAGTAGGAAAGAAAAGCGTGTCTGGATTCCCTCTGTAGGATGTTTGAATGATGCATTTCCCCTCTATTGTAGAGTTCTGCTTTCTAGCACCTGGAAAACAAACCTTGTTGCGTCCCTTAAAGGCCGTCGTTCCCTAAGCTTCCCGGTCTCTCTTCGGCGGACAAACCGAACCTTTAGACATGTCGCCGCAAGCTCCGGCGACCCTACATCGTTGAACCGCTGGTTTTGACACATCAAGAAAGACCATCCAAAGTTAGATCCGTCAGCTGGGTCCTGTCCACCATACCGCTGGGCGCAGAGTTGCTGCACATCGCCGGCACATTCTATTGGTCCATGCTTGCAAACAATACTGCCGTTGTTCGCCTCGTCCGCGATGTAGATTGTACGGATTTGGGCTATACTATGGACGACCGCTAGGACTTCGTCGAAGCGGGCTTCCGCTCGGCGTGCATCGGGGCACCGGGACATAACGAACAACTCAATCGGTACAAGGAGAGTTGGGCCTTGAGTATCCTGAACATCAAGGGCTGTAATTCTTGATGATGATTTCTGGTATATGTTGCGAGTTGACACGCCTAGCGCAATGTCCAGCCTCGCGAGCACCGTGAGAAGCAACATCCCCCAAATCCGTGGTAGTGGAGCCGCCATTTTTGTCCCAATCGATATCACCGGTAGTGAGGACTATGTAACAAAAATAATGAAAAATTGGATGTGTTGGGACGGATTAGCGTTCGTTGCCTGCAGCACCGTACAATATCTTAGCATGCCGGAACCCTCAAATTGTGATAGGATCAGGAGGTGAGATAAGAGAGAGATCCATAAAAGTGAGCGGCACAACAACCTAAAAATTGGCGAAACACGAAGAGACCGTTGAAACGAAAAAACCAACGCATATAGGGTTGTCTGTACGGCAAAGCAGACTATGCACTGTGACGGCCGATAAGAAGCTCAACCCTACCTTACACCACGTCATCCTGAGGGGAATACCAGGACATCTGTCTTGCGTAACTTTCCTGCTGTTATTCTTGCCGGCCCTGCTGCAGCTTTTGGCTGGGGCTCTCAGCTCTTACCGTGGGCATGTACGTATGCATGCGCCATGTCTCCTGGTCTAGTGCCTCATCCATTCACGTGATCAAATGGACAGCCGTGGACATGTTCGCACTTGCAAAGTATCAGAAATATGCAGAGATCAGCTTCTATGGTTTTTCTGCCACGGCCTGGAAGAAAGCCCTCAGCCACCGCCGCAGCCACCGCAGCTATCATTTCGCATGAGAGATAGAGACCTGCTCGTCCATTGCACGATAACGAGATACTTTAATAATGCACAAAGAGGAAACCTCTAGCACACAGTGCACCGGACTTTAAACGCGTACCGCCCCGCCACGTCATCATGAACTGCCGATTCCCCCATAACCGATTTGCCATCAGGTTGCCAAGCCAAAGTCCTCAACAGGAAAGCCGTCCTCCTCCTCCTCCTCCTCCTCCTCCATCCCATCCCATTCTCCAACCCGCCGCAAACCTTCTTTCCCTCCAGCAGCGAAGGCGGGAACGAGCAGAGCACCACAAGGGCACCTTCCCAGCCCTCTGCCCTGTCCGACTGCATCGGCACATCCGCGCCCACGTCATAAGCTCTAACTGTTCCGCATGTCTGTCGGTCTGTCTGTCTGTCCTGGGCGGACCAAGGGCGAACCAGGCTTCCAAGAACCCCGAACCTTTACTGTAACCCTGCAGGGTTAGCTCCCCCCGGCGGGGTTAGGCCCCCCCCCGCCCAGCTGGCTCCCAGCCCGGCCCAAACAAAGCCCGTATTGCCAAACACGCGCACACACCCCGTCCTCGTAAGCCTCCCTCACCCCCCGACTTCCACACACCCTTCCTCAACGCCTCCTCCAGTCCCCTTCCCGCCACCTCCGTCCCTCCAACACTCAAGCCTTCTGCTCGGGTGTCCACGATTCGTACTTCTTCCAGTTGCGCTTCTCTGCGTTGAACCAGGAGCCCTTGGGGTTGTAAGCTCCTTGGGTGCCCGTGCGGGTTATGTAGGCCTCGATCTGCATCGGGCCCCGGAGAACCGTACGACCCGCGGGAGGGGGAGGTACGGTTACTTGATTGGCTAATCAAGGAAAACCAACCCGAGGACATCGA